AGACCTCCAGCAGAGAGAGGGGCTGGATCAGGAGGGGTGCCCACCAGGTTTAGACTCATAGCTAGCGGCGGCACTTCCCACTGGAGGCAGGCAGGTATTTTGGGGTGTCCCACATGTAATAACAAGAGGCGACAGGGCCAGACAGGTCTTTGGAGCCCAGGATCTCACTCTGGTCCAAGCAGCTGGTGGCAGGACCTGGCGGACATTCACGGGCGAGGTGGGCTTGTGTGTGAAGCCCATCCCATTTGGGGGCCTCAGCTTCCTCTCTGTGCAATGAGGGTTAAATGGAGCCTTAGGCTCTTCCAGTTCTGGATTCTCGGGTGACTGTCCTGTCAGGGAAGTAAAAATAGACTCCCTTTCTGAGAAGGTCAGTCCTTGGAAGAGCTATGGTGTGGGAAAAGGAACTGGGGTGCCTCTCAGTCCCAGGAGCAGGAAACCAGCCTTAACTAGTGAAAATTCACTCCTCAGTGGACCTAGGAGGTGGTGCCCAGAAACCTGTGGGGTTTCCTGGAAAGCCACACACCTCTCATTCACCTCCTCCTCCTCCTCACAGATGCCTGCTTTCTAAAGCAAATGCCCCGAGGAGGAATTGGCTTTCCTGGGAAGAAGGCCTGCCAATAGCCACCCTGCACACTCACACACACACATTCTCACACACACATTCTCACAGACAACCCTGTAGTCTATACCGCTTCTCATGCCCCGGGCTTTTGCCTGAAACACACTTTTCTTTACTCAAAATGAACCCCTACTATGAGCCAAGCGCTGCTATCATCACTGAGGATGGGCAAAACAGACTCCAGCAGACCCCAGGATGACCCACAAAATATTACAAAATAAACATGAAAGTTGTACAGTGGGAGATTGTTGTACATACAGTGTAAACAGTAAAATAAGTCAATGGCACAGAGAGCGACTGTTTGCCGTGGGACTGGGTCTGAAGAGTGAGTATTCCAGCTGAGGCTTCAGTGAGGAGACAAGGGCCACCTGCTAACATCTGCGGAAGAGCAGTTTGGGCAGCGGGGTCAGCAGGCACCAAGATCCCGAGACGGGCACAGGCTCGGATGTCTGAGGACAAGACAAGGCACTGTGGTGGAGCACAGCCACGGGGAAAGTGGCAGGTGCTGGTCACCAGGGGGCGGGGCCTTATGGACACGGCTGGCGCCTTGGCTTTGACTCTGAGTGAGACAGATCAGGAGCCAGCAGGGCTTTGAGCAGGGGACTTACACCCCAAGAGAGCCTTACGTGAGGAACAGGGACTGTAAAGGGACAGAAGTGGCCTCCCTCCCATTGCCACCTGGTTAACTCTTTCTCATTCCTCAGCTCCCACCCCAGTGGGCACATCCTCTGGGAAGCTGTCCCCACCTCCCTGCCCGGTGAGATTCCTATGAGTCTCAAAGCATCAGCTTCCCTTCATCACACCTAGCTCCGGGCTAATTTCGTGTGTATCTCTGGTTATTTGATTGTCCGTCTTCCCCACTAGACTCTGCCCTCCTCAGGGACAGGCATGCCCCTGCCTCTGCTCTCCGTAGATCCCCAGGACTTTGCACAGGGCCTGGCATGCAGTGGGTGCTCAAGCAATGTGAGCTGAATAAATAAGCAAATCCCCAGTGTCTCAGCCAATTTTCCACTCCCTCAAGGAACAGTTTCCTGCTTCTGCTTCCTCCCTCCTCTGTGTCCACTCCTCCCAGGGAACCCAGCATGACTGTAAATAGCTGCTGGCACACGCGCGCGCGCACGCACATACACACCCCAGACTGCGCTCCAGAGGGCAGAGCATGTGTAGTCCTTCACTGCACTGCAGGGGTCCCCTTGAATCAGGCAGTGCCGCTGTGCAAAAAACTGCCTTGCTCACGTCCACCTCACCCTGCCTCCTCCACCTACTCAAAGACCCCTGGCTTGAGCTCAGTAGAGTCTGTGCCCTGATCACATGTCAGGGGTCAAGCCCACCTCCCTCTCCAGGTTGAGCAGCATCACCCACAGACCCACTGGCAGCAGGGTCCCTCCATCCTCTCCTGTACCCATGGACCCGGAACTGCTCACACCAACGGGTGAACTCTGTTTGCAAAGACACGATGGTTATATTTTGCAAACCAAAGATGAACATACATAGACTAAGGGGTATGCTGGGAACAAAACACTGAAATGTCTGACCGCTGGTCTGGCCTGGGAAGCTGGGAAACTTTGATCCACATCTTTAGGGCCAACTACTTTCCCTTATAAAAGCTCAGTGCCCATGACCCCTAATGCTGTTAGAACCCACTAAATTAATCAGTGTATTCTTGAAACAAATATGATAGAAATGACATTTTGTTAAAAAATCATATTTTACATGCTCTGCAAAAGCTTGGTAGTTAAGAAATTCCTTTTGCAGAATAAAAATATTTTGGGGGGAGGGCAACTTGCACTAAAAGCCTTAAAATAGGCATGCCCATGGCCCAGTAATTCTATTTCTGAGACATAATTCAATTTTTAAAGGGCTACCCCAAAACTGAGGTACAAGAATATTTGTCACGCAGCACTGCTTGTAAGAGCATATCGTTGAAAACATCCAAATGTCCAACAGGAGTAATTACTTACAGTAAATATGGTATCTCTGTACAATGGAATATGCTGCAACCAAAATAATAGTAATAACAATAGTCAGTGCTTATTGAGTACCTAGGCTGCTAGGGACCAAGTTAAAAGCTTTCCATGCACCACCTCATTTAATTCTCCCTCTGCTGTAGGTACCATTATCATCCCCATCTCACAGATGAGAAAATCAATACCTAAAAGAGTTAAGTCATAAGCTAAGGTCACACAGCTAGTAGCTAGGATTCACACTCAGGCAGTCTGACTCCCGGCGCCAAGCTCTTAGCCATTATACTATATGACCTCAAAGGATGCCATTGAAAGAGATATTGCAGAAGCAAGACCAGTCACGTGGAACAACGCAGATGATACAGTGACAGGTAAAACAAGCAGGTTATTAAGATACGCACTGATCCCATGTGTGCACATGCATGCAAGCAAAGGGAGAAGGACTTGGAAAGATAACACTGAAGAATCTTGGCGTAGGTTGCTGAGTAGATGGAAGTGTGTGTGTGTGTGTGTGTGTGTGTGTGTGTTTATGTTCTGCTTGTGTTTTCTGGTTTTTCTGCAACAAAGATATTCTGGTTTTGTATTAAGAAAAATAATTTTTTTTTTTAGCTGAGCCATCCTGCCACCTGTTGGCAGCTCAGCAGCAACTCAGCTCGGGCTGGACTCGAACTGCTGTTGCTCAGAGCTCAAACCCTTGAGCGAGCTCTTAACCAACTGAGCCCCTCGGCCGGCCCCAAGAAAAATAATTTTTAAAAATTAACATAAACACCCAAAATCTGTCCCTTGCACTTACCCTCTGCATAAACCCAACTGTCCAGCTGTTGGCCTTGCTTTAAGTCTAGATATGACTGCCCGTGGAAGACTCAGAACGTGCCTGGCAGCCAGCTCACGGGCACTTTGTGGCTCAGCTTCTTCTCCAGGCAGCCACGGCTCCCCAGCTGGGAAGACAGCGCAGATGCTTCCCACGCTGCCCTGCAGCAGCTTGCCCATCTCATCCCATCCCACCAAGGTCTCCTCTGGGCATGTGCATCCCCAGCGAGCTGCTGGACTGAGAGCACAGAGCTGTGTGAGCTGGAAGAGCCTGGCAGCTTCTGCGCTGGCGCCAGCTCTCGCCTTGGAGCCAAGCCCAGGGACCCTCAGAGCCTAAGAAGCTCCATCCCGTCATTGGGTCTACCGGAGAAGCACTTCAGCAAGGGCCTGAGGGCGGGAGGGTGGCCCAGGGACCGAAGCCCCAGCTCTGCAGCCACATATATTGGGACCCCTCCTGGCCTAGCTATGTGATCTTGGGCAACTTATTTCTTCTCTCTGAGCCTGTTTCTATGCCTGTCAAATAACGAATTAAAATATCAACTTGAAAGGGGACTTGTAAGAATCAGAAATGTATATACCTATAATGATGCCAGTAAGTAACATTTCCTGGGTACCAACTTCTGGCTAGGCACTCTGTTAAACACTTTACATGACTGATTGTCTGGTCTCATGTAGCTCTCACAGCTGCCCTATGACAGGCACTGTGCCTACTCCCACTTTCCAGATGATGAAAGGAAGGCTGAGTGGTGACGTCACTTGCACTGGTAAGTGCATCAGGAATGTCTGCTGCCATGCCTGGGCCCACACCACTACACCACGCAGGCAGCACAATGCCTGGAACATAGATTTCATCCAGATGGCTACCATTGTTCGGTCTCCCTACTGGGCCTCTGTCTGGCTTTGGAGAATGGTGTGACAGCGGAGAACCGTCACCTGGTTCTCCCCCACACACCCCCCCAGACCGCTGGCACAGCCAGGGGCCACATACCCACTTTAGGAAGCCTTCCTCTCAGAGTGACCAGACCTACCCACACACACATTCTTTGAGTCAGTTCCAGTGCCCACACGCGATGGCTCTGCTGCTGCACAACCTATGACCACCTACCTCCAAGACCTGGCCTTGTGCTCTGGCCACCAAGGCTGCTGGCCCAACAGGGACTGCTCACACCCTAGGAGTCAGGCCTGCTGGCACCTGCCCCAAAACCCTTTTAATTCTCAGAAGATCTGGGCCACAGGCCTGGGTCTCCCAACAGCTCGGAACAGCCGGCCTGTCTGGCCAAAGGGAACCTCAGGAATCAGAAAAGCAGTGCCCTTAAGCAGCCTCTCAACCGCCCAGTGGAGCCAGGGCACTTGGCTGTGTCCGCGCGCTGGAGTCTCGGTGTACAAGTGTGTGCAGGAGAGTGGTGTGGCAGCGAGAACAGCGGACGAGTGTGTGAATGTGCGTGTACGCGCGAGGCTCCGAGTGTGCGCCGCAGCGATCCCATCCCAGGGCGGCGGGCGGGCGGGCGGGGACGGTCTCCTCCCCCCACCACGCTGAGAAATCTCAGTGAGTCACCGACTGGTTCTGCATATTAATGAGCTCGCTCGCTGCGAGGGCAGGAGCGGATTTAAAAGAGACCTGGGCGGGCGGAGGGAGGCTGTGGAGCGAGCGCGGAGCCCAGCGGAGCGCAACGCGCGGCGACAGCCGAGAGGCACCCACCGACGGGCGACGGGCGACGGGCGCAGCGGGAGCGAGAGGAGCCGGGAAGAGAGGCGCGCTCCGGCTAAGCGAGCAGAGCCGGGCAGCGTCTCCTGGCCGCCACACAGACGGCCGGGCGCCCTCCCCGAGTCCCCACTCCCGCGCCGCGCCACTCCGACCAGCATGAGACTCCTGACGGCCGCGCTGCTCCTGCTGCTCCTTGCGCTGTACGCCGCGCGCGTGGACGGTGAGTGCTCCGCAAGGCCCCTGCCTTCCCGGCCGGTCCTGGGGAATCCAAGCGCCCGATGCTAGGCTTCCTGGAACCCCGGGGGTTCTGGGTGGGCACCGAGGGCGGTCGACGGGCAGGAGACCCCCCCCCCCCCATGAGCAACTAAGTGGCCCCTGCGCTCTCTCTCGCAGGGTCCAAATGCAAGTGCTCCCGGAAGGGGCCCAAGATCCGCTACAGCGATGTGAAAAAGCTGGAAATGAAGCCAAAGTACCCGCACTGCGAGGAGAAGATGGTGATGTGAGTTCTCGCTCCGCACCGTGGGCCTGTGGCCCTGCTCTTAACCGGGTGCTGGGGCACAGCGCAGGGCTGGGTCAGGCAAACAAACGCTTCTCTCCGCCTTTAGCAGGGCCTTTGTCGTTTACCCAGCAAGTCCTTAGGACGCTGGCGCGACAGTCTGGAAGAAAATTTGGAAAGAGTCACTGTCCCGTGCTCCGGAAACAGCCTCTCCAAGGAGTTCACCTTTGCTGGGATTCAAATGGGCAGCCTGTTAGTGCTGCCCTCCTTGCTAGGGTGATCAAGGGTTAAAGGGCTCCGTATGCCAGCTTAGAACACTCAGGCTGAAATCACTCAACACACACCCAGAACTATTGAACAACTCAGACCCAACCTGTGAGGCGTGCTGCCTTCCTGTTACTGGAGAGAGGATTAAAGCATACATTGTGCTAAGCCCTCAGACCATCCTCTCAGAGCCTTCTTCCAATCAGGGGGCATGGACGGCCAGCTTTGGCCTCCAGCGATTCCATTTTGAGAATGATCCTCGCTCTACCTTCGCAGGCTGGATTCCTGTGGGTCCCTGAGCCTAAGCAGTGCTGTGGGAAGTGCTCCGTGGGGGTTAATGTTCCACATGGCTGGAGCCCTGCTTGGTGGGGATGTGGAAACTCTCTCTGAAACTGGGGCAGAGAGAACACTGCGTTTCCTCGCTCCTCTGCCTTCCCAATTAACCACTTGAAGCTAACACCACTGTTTCCCCATCAGAACTCTCTTGGCCAGGAAGGGAGCCCTTGGCAAAGCAGCTACCAGATATCTGCCATGGACCATTGGCCCCTCTTCCCCTCCCCCAGAAATAGGACACACTCTATTCTCAATCTGGGCAAGTGCCTTCCGGCCGCTGGCCCCACTGTCTCAAAGACCTCCCCACAGTGTCTGCAAAGGCAGCCCCCTCCCCCACTGCTGCACTGTAGGGCTGAAGTTTGGGGAATTCGGAAAGCCACTGGGCCTGGACCTAACCCCACCGCCTTCCTTCCCGGGCACCTAAATAACCTCCTGTCCCTGCCCCTTGCCTTATGGACCCAAGTCCAGAAAAATGGCCAGAACATCCTTTTGGGTGGGGGCCAGAAATCCCAGGAGCTGAGGGAGGAGCTATAAGCCCCTCCTGGCTCCCAGCTTGGGGACTGAAAATGACAGGGTCGTTGCATGTTAAGTCTGCAGTCCTCTAAGTGCTGGAAAAAGTTCCGCACGCCAAGCAGACCTGCCGAGACCTTGCAGGGGAGAAGCAGGGTGTGGGGTGCAGTGGTATCTCAAACGGACAGAATGCTCTGTAAACAGGCTCGCTCTTTTTCCTGGCTAAACTTCTCAGAATACAGAGGAAACTGACAGCAGGGCAAGTGCATGAAATAGACTTTATGTAGCCTCCTGAAAACCTGTAGGAGCCTCACGCGATCCGCACGCAGTCACCCTCACTAAAACCTCCACTCCACACCCAGACCTCCCCATCCTTACTGCCCGCCCCCCCCCCCAAATCCCTGAAGGGCTGCAGGTCTTCTCCCCTTTCAAGCTGCTAAGCCTCTAGAACAGACAAAGGGCCAGCACTTTTTGCCAAAGCAGGTTTTCAGCCACAAAGGCTGCACAAAAGCAAGTTTTCCAGCTCACCCTGAGTCACCCAGAAGTCTCTGATGGGCGGGAGAGGGAAGAGGGGCTTTGCAAGTGGGAGTCTTGCACCCAGGAAGGTCCAGGAGAGTCCAGATTCTAGAAATGGCAATTTGTGTCATATGTCCACTGAGCTCATGCCAAAGTCCCTGTACCCCAGAACCACTGAGAAGGACACAGGACCCACAATTTCTGAGTAACTGCTGGGGGCAGAGATCCTCAAGTCTTCACCCCACAGCCAGGATTGTGACAGAGCATGTGAGCCCTGGTGGGAGAGCTGAGCGGGACGTCCCCTCTGACTCCCCAACCCTCAGATCTTCTGGACATAGGATCCCCAGCCTGCACAGTTGACCTAGTTGAGGAAGGGATTTTTCTCAGGCTTTGCCATGTCCTTTCATTCCAAGTGCAAGAGCAGCATTATAGGCAGAGAGCAACGCATGGGCTAAATTCTTGCAGACTGACTAGGTAATATGGGGGAGGAAAACAACTAGACTCCAATTTGAAGCCTGGCTGGCCCCATGCTCAAGACCTTGAAGGAGGGACAAGACCCGGGGAGCGACAGGTCTCGTAGGGAGGGCCAGTGAAGCCAGGGACCAGTCACCCGGCATTAGTGGAAGATCCCTCCCTGCCCCAGGAAGCTTAGGGTATGGTGGGGGTCCTGGAAACTCAGAGCACAAGGGAAGGAAGAGAACAGACTGTCCAGAAATACTCTGCCCCCATTCTGGTATCGAGATTCGATTTCCTTCCTCTCCTGTCAGTTGGGAGACTCAGAGTTCATGGCCACCTCGCTCTCTTCTAGAACTTGGCCCATACGTCCCAACACTTTTATCTTTGGAGACCTGCAGGGGACTAGCTTATCTCTCTCCCTCTCTTGCTGCTCTTCCCACTCCGACCTCCAACCACCCCTCTCCCCCCCGGCCCATTCCTCAGCACCCCAGTCTTCCACCATACCTTGCTCTTGCAGCAACCTCTCAGGAGGTGACATCCTCACCTCTCGCTTTCCACTTTTCCATGTCCCCTAGGTGGTCCCTCATTTTTGAACACCATCCTTCATCCCCCACCTAGAAGCTTCCTCCTAGCTTCTGCCACCCTGACCCAGCCCTGGTTGAGAGGAACACAGCAGTTCCGGGCAGCAGTCATGCCTCCCCCTCCAGGCTGGTGCTCACACACTAAGGCCTCTCTTGCCTGGGCCACCTCATCTTCCATGACAATTACTAATAACAGTAACTATTCCTTGTGTATCTACCAGGTGCTAGGCACTTTGCATAGATTATGTCCTTGAATCATCCAATAACCCTGAGAGGTATGTTCTATTATTATACCCATTTTATGATGGGTACACTGGAATCAAAAAGGTTACCCAAGGTCCCACCCACAGACAGACCTGGACTCTATATGATGCCACCTGCTTCTCTACTGCATGGCTAGGCCTCCACTGGCTGATAGAGGTCTGAAGGGGGGTCTTATTTTTCTGCCCATGGGTGAGACAGCTGAGACTTCATGCTCAGGAATCACAATGGGCTTCGAGGCCAACAAGATTTAGCTTCAGGATAAGCAAATGCCCTGCGCCAGGAAACGGGTTTGAAGGGTCAGACAGAAACCACAGTGTGTGCAGAGCATGCCCAAGCCCTGCCGTGGGACAACTCAGACCAAGGGAAGAGGTCTTGGCATGCGTGCCTTGCTGACATTGGCTCTCTCCACCTCGACGCCAGCTTCAGAGGAGCTGGAAGAGTCCTCTGACCTTTGTTTCTAAGGGAGGCATAAGGCCTGTAGACAACACCCTGTGTGGGGGTGAAAGGTGGCGGGGCTGGGGACTATCCCACATTCTGAGGGCTCCAGGGGGAAAAGTGAGGGCCGACCACTCCATACAGGGTTAGACCCTAACGTGGAGTCAGAGATTAAGAGGACAAACAGAACCTTCCACAGAGCCAGCGAGGGGGTGATCGTACGGATAGTCTCCCTCGAAAGGAGGGAAGGGGCCACAGTGTCTCAGCGCCCTGATCAGGGCAGACCAGGGACACCCATGGCCACACTGAGGGGCTGTCATTCAGGCTCCTCAACCTTCCACCCCATCCTGCTCCATTTCAGCATCACCACCAAGAGCGTGTCCAGGTACCGGGGTCAGGAGCACTGCCTGCACCCCAAGCTGCAGAGCACCAAGAGGTTCATCAAGTGGTACAATGCCTGGAACGAGAAGCGCAGGTATGCTCCGCCTCCTTTCGCCTTTCTCCCCGCCCCTCCAACCTTTCTTCCCACCTGCCCCCCAGATGCAGATCCTAGACCCCTGGTAGGTCCTCTCGCCCCGTCGAATGGATGAACACCCACCACAGTAACCACAGCAGGCAGATATCCAGACATGGCTTGTACACCCCCAGGGACAGGGAACTCACCACGTAACAAAGCAGGCTATTGCTCTCTTAGACAGTGGCAAGCATCGAAAATGTATTCTTTTGTGAACTGAAGTTTGTCTCATTTTAACTTTCATATTAAATTCCTCTTCTAATTTAAATGACGTCAGTTCTCTGACCCCCGGGTTCGCTCTGTCAAAGGCCAGGTGAGCCCCCGGTACAGCGCTCACGTGATTCTTGTGGGGTAAAACATGACACGTAATTTAATGGGTTTATTAACTATAAAACTGTGGGACAACCACAAATGATAAAGATGACTCCTTGCTAACCATATACTCTCCCGTCAAGGTGCCCGCACCCCCTGCTGCCCAGAAATCTGATAAACTCCTTCCCACATAGGTGCAGGAGGGACCTGGGGTTTTACCCTTTAAAATCGAGCTATTCTTAACCTCAGGGGCAGCAGTGGCCAGATGACCAGAGCCCTGAACCAGACCCCCACCCTCTCTGGGCTCTGTTTCCCCATGATAAAAAGATGGCTTCCCAGCTCTGATTTCCTGGGGTCCTATACCTGGCCTCAGAGGGACAGGCCAAGTTCCTGGTTCCCTCCTACCACATAAAGGTGAGGCTGTCCTGAAGTAGACCCAGCCCTCGCACTCAGGGCCTGTTCACATCTGTATCTGTACAGCATGGCCAGGGAAGCAGGTGCGCACACACATGCAGGTGAGTCCCCCAGGAGCTGGTGCCAGCACCTCATCCCACAGAGGGGGAAACCAAGGCTAAGTGGGGGTAGGGAGCGACTTGTCTGAGAGCACAAGACAGGAAGCCAGGCTTCGCAGTGTCACCTTCCCGCTCCCTACAGTCGAGGCCTGCTCTGCTCCTCCCATCACCCGACTCAGCCGGCCCTTCCACCCTAAACTCAACCCATGAGCAGCTCCCACAGCTGACATTTGGGCCCAACCCCAGTACCTGAGCCTTTTGTGCTGCCTCCAAAACTGCCTCGTCTGCAGTTGCTTGAAATAGAAAGTGATGAGAGCAAGAGATTATTTTCTACACATCTGATGGGAATGGAGCCCTCTTCCTGGTCAGGGCAAGCAGCTCACGTGGCAAAAGCAGGACCTGTCCCATCCCGTCACACTCCAGCCCCTGCGTCATCAAAAGTGTAACGAGGCTGACCTTAGGGCCAGTTCATGGAGGGGTGGAGAACATTTTCATCCGACTCCTGGGAGATGCTCAGACCTTTTTCCAGGTGCATTTGTCCCTCACCCCTCCACCTGGGCAGCAACTTTAAAGAACAGGAGGCAGACTCAAGCCCGTGCAGTCCTGTCATTTTTATTTCTGCAAATTCCTACCATGAGGGCAGTAAGGGCACCTCCGTCCCCAGAACTCTCATCATGTCATTATAAAATGAGCTCACCCCTCTTTCTTGGGATGCTGAGATGTCCTGGAAGAGGAAGGGGGCATTCATTCCCTTGTCCTCCCCCCCTCCCTTCCCTGTAAAAGATCAAAAATGTCTCGTGAATGTAGAATGGAGATAAGGAACTACCTTGAAGTCCTCTTTGCAGAGAGACTAGGAGAATGCTGAACCTCAAGTAGAGGAAGGAGAGGACAGAGGACAGAGGGCCTGCCCAGTCCCTGAGGCCCAGACTAGTGAGCTCTGAGCATCTCAGGCCCAGAGCTTCCGATTGCCACTGGCAGCAGCAGCAGCAGGCATTTGATTTCAATGCATCATGAGGTGGTCTTGCGCAGAAATCAGGAAACAGGCGGAGGGAGCAATGAGCTGTCTGAGTGTGAAGCGTGGCCCTACGGCAGCCATGGGGCAGAAGAGAAGGGATTAAAGTACATAAATTAGATGGTTTTGGAGGTGAGGTGGCAAAGTCAGCTTGTGGAGGTACACAGGCCTGATAAGTACTCAAGGAGACGACCTGGAACCACAGATCTCCACAACAGCCCCAGTCTCACGAACAACTCTTTAGTCTTAAGGCAGTTCCTCTAGAACTGGTGTTTTTCTGGAGGAAATGCATTTTTTTTGGACAAAATAGAAAGGAAGACACAAGCGTAAGTTGAGAGGGGAGATGCCTCTCGTCCTCCCGCCCATGCTGGAGACAGAACTCATTCCTATCACGGACATTCAATGTCTGTAAGTCTCTTGTTTCCTCGTATACAAAGAGGATCCGCTTCCCAGGGCTTTGAAGATAAAATGAGACTGCAGAGGTGGAGGCTGTTTAGAAGGCACAGAGCCAGGTTCAGGTGAGCTTTTGTGGTCCGTGGGATGGCATCCTTTGAGATGTTCCCCCCACTTCTCCCGTGCTCCTGCAGTCCCAGGAGGGGATGCTCCCAAAGACAAGAAAGAGGCAGCAAAGCCACCAGCCCGTGCACTGCCTGAGTCATATCCCGAGCCATTTACACTGGTGTTTTCTCTCCCCAGGGTCTACGAAGAATAGGGTGAACAACCCCGATGGGAAAACATCTTACTGGTTGGGAGACAGCAAAGAACTTTGCAGAGTTAAAAACAAAAAACAACCTTTCCTTCTCACAGGCATAAGACACAAATTATATATTGTTACAAAGCACTTTTTACCAAGGGTCACTTTTTACATTTTATAGCTGTGTGCAAAAGGCTTCCAGATGTGAGACCCATCTCTATTGTGCTCCAGACTTCATCACAGGCTGCTTTTTACTGAAAAGTGGGAAACTCATGCCTTTCCTTTGTTAAAAAAAAATGCTTTTTTTTTTATTTGTCCAGATATCACTTATCCATCTGAGCTTTATAAGCGCCTGGGAGGAACAGGGAGCATGGTGGAGGCGTTTCACAGCAGCGCTGCTCCGCTCCTAGCACAGGAAGCTTTCCGCTCAGAGGTCCTGGCGCCTCGGCACAGCTGCCGCGGGCTCTCCCGGGTTCATGGTCAGTCACAGGCGCAGGGGACCCCACAGTGGCCCCAGCCGCAGGGCGAGCAGAAGCAGATCTCTCTGCATCTGTTCTTTTATGAACTAGAGTTTGGCTGCCAGGGAAGTGGGCTCCAGCCCCCTGGTTCATTTTTTACACACTCTAAGGAAACATTTTCAAAATCCCGGGATGGCGAAGCAATCTGTCCTTAAGGAAGGGCTAGGGTCTGCTCTCCAATCTGTGGGTTTGCAGAAGGTTCACTGCTTCCATAGTTAATGCTTTGGAAGTAGGTGAAGTTTCTGACCCTGTTAGCAAAAACAGGAGAAAACCTAAAAATATACAGATACACGCACGATATACCGCTACGGACACAGGTTCTATTGACAAGGGAGAACCTTCAAAGCATGTTTCTTTCCCTCATTGCAATGGAACATGCAGTACTAAGCCAATCTACCCGTGATTCCCCCACGTAATTCTTCAATGTTAAACCGTGCAGTCCTGTTTTGTAAGCTAAGATGACCATGTGCCCTCTCCTTTGTAAATATACTCATAAGAATGCCCCCTCCACACATGGCCCCCTCAGCATCTGCCGCATCGTACTGCTGTGTCTTATGCTATGTAAATGTCAGAAACCATTAGCGTTGCATGCAGGTTTCATATTCTTTCTAAAACAAAAAGAAAGTAATAAAATATATTTGAAATGTACCAAAATTCTGGACTACTGACTTTTCTTTTCCATGTAATTAAGCCAGGATAACAATCAAATGTTTACCATGCCCTGAGTAGACAGAGACAAATGTACTGGAAGGAAAACTGGTGTTTTTTTCCCCAAATACCTGTCAACACTGTCACCTTTATGGAATGTCAGCACAGTCCTGAGACATAAAGCCAGGCCTCGAAGCTAAGGCTTCCTCCCCACCTGACTTCCACACCTGGAGTAGGTACATCAGACCAGCCAGGTCGGTGTGCACAGTACTGGAGGGTCCCACTGTGGTCCCCATTTAGAGAAGAGAGGAGACAGGGGACTAGTCAAGATCCCTCTGGTCCAGGGCCCCAGGATTCCCGGGGCAGGTGATCATGGAGGGGTGGGAAGTGCCCAGTAAGAGGCCGTGGGTGTCTGGAGCCAGGCTGTCGGAGCCACAGCTGGGGAGGTACTGAGGCTCCATTTCTGCTTCTGCAAGGTGGAGACGAAAGCATACCTCATGGTGCTTCGGGGGCTGAACGAGGCAATCCACGTATAGCACTCAGGACCAGGACATGGCGAGCACTGGGTAAACGTGAGATCCTTTCATAGTCACAAGACCAGGCCACCTGTTCTTTACAGAAACTGCCCACAGCCGCATCTCACTACATCCAAGTCAGCTAGGCCCTGAAACTCTGCCTGCCTGGGTGCCCCACACTCCACAGCACTGTCCAAGGGGACATGCCTCCACCTCGTCTGCACTTCTTGTCTGCAACATGAGGAACCAGGAGCCAGCAACATGCACGGCTGGCTCGGCCAACACTTAGGGGGACACACAAGCAAGTACCCTGCCCAGCACGTCCTTAGCAGGCCCTTTCCATCACAGCTTCGTCTCCTGACAGCACCGTTCTGCCAAATGTATTCCTAAAGAAACTGAGGACCAGAGGGGTCACTCGTCACACTGCTCCAGTGGCTGAGCCTGGCTGCTTTTCTGCTGAGGGGAGCAGCAGCGGTGAGCCGAAGCCACACTAGGCCAGGGCGCCCATGAATGCCCGGTGTTGGTCCCGCCTTTCCCTTCATTATGGAGGAAGAAGGGAGACAGGACAGGGAAGCCTAGACACCAACAGACAGAGCGGAGCCTGAGGAGAGCCCCAGTCGGAGGGCACGTAACAGGGCAGTGGAGGGAGAGTGATGGGGGGTCTCTACCAGGAACCCTGCGCTCTGCGTGGGCTTTCAGGGCGGTGCCACTGTAAGGAAGTCAGCTGACAGTCCCCCCCAACACACACACACATCTCCTGCCCCGCAGACACAAAGGCCTCTCCATCCAGCATGGCGGGGGGGGGGCAGGATTCTCTGTGCTGCTCCCTGAGTTTCAGGCTCCACCTTCCCCCTTCCGCTCACTCTAAACACGTCACATACACACCTCTCCCCCCTTGCTCGGCCTCTCCTCCATCCCACCTGTGGTTCCAGTGCCAGCACCTCCTCTTCCAGCCTGCTGGCCCAGGTGTGCCCTCCATCATCTGACCTCCCAATCAGAGGCTGGATTCGTAGTAACAGTAACAACGCCCCTTACAGCGTGCCAGGCACCGGCACAGGCTCTTGCCCTGCACGCACTGGCTTCACCCTCCTAACACTGCTGCCACCCCCCAGACCAGCTAGGGACTTGTTTAGGAGGGACCGGAGGTCAGTTCAAGGAGAGCTGAACTTCAAGGCCTTGTCTGTCAGAGAGCAGGAAAGGTGGAATGTTGTGCGTGACTGTCTAATCCCTGGGGGACAAAAGCTGACTATGCTTCTGAGGATGACTTAGACCCTGTCCTCCAACAGACAGGTATTAGCTGGACCACGAAGAGGCTCTCAGCCCCAGCACCTCACAAACGCCAAAAGGGTCCTCCCGTGCCAGGAACGGTGCCTGGCTCCAGAGAAGAATGCCCTATTTTTGCACTTACAGAGCTGTTTCCCGTCATTTTTCTCCTCTGGGCTTCCCAGCAGCTCTAAGATGTCTACTTACCACATTCCAGAAAGGAGAGTGACTCTAGTGCAGCAAAGCAAGGCCAGGCCGCCTTTCCAAGCAGGCCCTGAGACTGTGTCTCTCCCAGGTCTCCCTGGAGGGGCTGAGCATGGTCCTCTGAAATCCCTCAGCAGAACTACAACAGACAGGCATGCTAGGGGTCCAAATGCCACACCCCTGACCCCCCACTCTCACACGCATGTCCTGAGAAGGTACACAGTGCTACGCCAGGCTCGACCCCAGGACGGCCGCATTCGGGAGAACTCCAGCCCAGCTCTGTCTCATCTCCACCCAACCAAACCCTCCTCAGGCCCCCCCTTCACCATGGGGAGTCAGGGCCAGCCACATCACAGCATCACAGGCCTGATGCAAAATAAAGATGCAAGGCCCCCTGTTCAAAAACTATTATGACTTTCAAGATGGCAACAGCAGAACATGTCATAAGCCCACAGAGCAGCCCTAGACCTCAGGTTTCAACTCTCACACGCATCCGACAGCTCATTTTGGCCCTGAGTCATTACATAACTTGTACTACAATTTAACAGTTTATTTTAACTTGAACATCTCACAAGATGTGTTCTTAGAAGCCAAGGACTGACTGTGTTTTATGATTCTTTATAAAAACCTCCTAGAGCCTATGACCGCACTTATGAGGTACTCAGACACTGAATTAATCTCAGTCTTCAGGAGCTCCCGACAACATGCTTTCTGCACTCACTCACTGAGCTGCTACTACATGCAAAGCCCGCACTGAGCACTGCAGGGTGAGGTGACACTCCTTATCCTCAGGACAGAGACTAGTCACTCATCCACCCAGCACTGTGTCGTTATGCAGCATTTGCTATGAGGGGCCCACGGTGCTCAGTGCTGCAGATGGCCCCTCCAGAAACCCTCAGTCTACGAGGAAGGCTAAGACATTGCCTGAAATGGCCTGTTGGTCCAAGCACCATTTGAGGGTTGCACAGCAGGCTGTGGGGGTGACCCCTCACCCAGTCTTGAAGGAGGCGACCCCTGACCAAGAGCTCTATCAGCTCTGGGAGAGCTCAGGGCAAACCACGAGTTGTTCCCAGGCAGCAGCAGGAAGGGCTGTGTGGCCTGTGGCCTGCTGGTCCACGTGCCCTGAGACAGGCCCACACAGACAGAGCACGCCAAGGGCGGAAAAGTGGAGAATGCTGAGGGAATTCAGAGCGGCCTCAGGAACACCAGCCATGCCCCAGTTGGACGTCCAGAGAAACCTGCCTCAACTCCAACCTCTGCGCCCATTTCATCCATCTCACTTCCTCTCCATCATACGTCTCATCTGACCTGCCCATAAACTATGGCTGGGACTTCTCCAACCTCTCAGGCAAGGAAGCCCACCACAGCTCTTATGTTCACCCTCCCACACAAGGAAGGCTCTTCCTGGCTGGAGAGCCCTCAGGCTGTTTTCCTGTGCTCTTTTTGAAAAGTTGAAAAGACATTCTTAGAAGGCATCAAGAAAGAAATAAAACCCAAAGCCATTTTCTTGCTTTCAAGGTCACATCTCCCAGCTTCCACCACACCAGGCTGCTCTGACCGTGCCACCACGGGGTAGCAAAGAGCCGGTGCGCCTCAGCCAAGGTCTCCCCCGGTCCCCAGAGACTGTATGGGAACAGTGACAACAGTAACTGGCACAGTTATTGCTTCCTGTGAGCCAGACCCTGTGCCAAGGGATTTACGTGCCTTATCCCATTGAATGGGTAACAATTACGGCAGGGTGTTCTATTATTAGCTCCACTTTACAGATGGGGAAACTGAGGCTCAGTGAGATGAACACATCGCCCGTATTCAGGAAGCTAGTTGGTGGCAGACACGGGATTCTGGCTCCAGAGCAGGGCTTTTGCTCCCTGAAATACACAAGGTCTTGCAGCTGCTGTCGACTCCGGCCCAGAGGAGACTCTGCTGTGCCCTCACCCACACTTACCTCCTGTTTACTGAATACAGATGAATCATCAAGTTAACTTGGGCCATAGGGACAACCAGCCTTAGCCAGGTTTGTTCTGCGTGTGGCTCGTTTTGTCTTTGGGAGGCAGCAGACTGTAACAACCACAGGTTCCTCTGGGGCTTCTCTTACTGACCCGACAAATGGAGCCCTACCACTGTGAGGTCGCTGCTCTGGCCCACATTTCATAGACACAAACTGCTTGAATAGAAGCTGCCAGAGATTTTCACCCCTAACACCAAATAAGTTGAATACGCAAAATGGCAAGGATATCATCAAATTCAGCTCAATACTTTGGTTAGAAACAAGTTGAAACCATCAAGATGTTGGTTTAAAAAAATGAATTCACAGCTAAGCTGGGTTTAAAATCATCAGCCTCGTTTCACAATGAGGAGAGCTGATATTCTGGGATGACTAGCAGGGTATTTAATTAGATGCAAATAAGACTTTCATCTAATATTCGAAGTTATTCTCCAGAGCAAATGGAGAAGGTGAAGCAACAGGCTCTTTCTTTCAACCCATTGTTTCATTCAAGGCAACCCTCGCAGAAGAAGCATTTCTAAATTACAAAAAGGCTTTTGTCCCCCAGAAATAATGGACTGGAGTTAAGTATTTACATTAGTAGAGCCAAAAATATATATTATAAACTAAGAAAATTATGAAAGAATATCCTTTGATTCCTTTATAGCTGAAAGGTATCAGCATGCTAATTCCATGTATTTTGAGAGGCAGCAAAGTTTAATAAAAACAATAGCAACAACCACAACCAATAATTATTGAGTGCTTTCTCACCAAACTCTGTATTAGTTTCATTTTACAGATGAGGAACTTAAGGCTCAGAGAAGCTGAGTAACTTGTCCAAGGTCACACAGTGGCCAAGTGGTCTTGGGCAGTGTGAAATCTTTGTTTGGACACTCCTAGGGACCATATGTCCTGGTTTGCCTGGGACAGTTCTGGCCTACGACAGTTGTCCCACTGTAATTATGAAGAGTATTCCCTTTCACTCTCTCAAAACAGTGCTAGTGTGGTTGTTAGGACCACCCCACTTACAGGGCCTAGCA